ATAATTTTTTTTCAGTTTTTTTACTTGCATTATTTTCATAGCACAAAACGCATATTGGCAAGAGGTTGTCTCTGCGTTCGCACTTTTTATCACCCACTTTCAACTCGAGAACCAGAAACACTAGAAGGACTGAAAACTTGGTGTTTTTGCTAGCTGCACCTATTAATCGTAGAAAAAAAGTAACATTTTTCCCCATGAAACTTTTTTTTTAGTATAATGAACACGCATGCGATTTTTGTATTTGCTTAAAAAGGATTTTTGTTGAAAGGATGAAAATTTTCTGAAATTTCGACGATTTACTTTACATTCTTGTATACCAGTGGTTTTTAGCGTGTATCAGCACGGCTGCGCGAAACAAACACAACACCATATGTGGTGAATTTGGATCCGGCTGTGAGCAGACTTCCATATGCAGTGGATATTGATATTCGGGATACGGTGAAATACAAGGAAGTGATGAAGCAGTATAGCCTGGGACCAAATGGCGCCATCTTGACATGCCTTAATTTAATGTGCACCAAATTTCATCAGGCAATTTCTTCATTTTCCAATATTACTACTCTTAATTTAACATTCCCCTGAAGTCCAAGGCATATCGCAGTCCTCATTCTCACTGCGCCAAGCACTGAACAATGGTTAGCGGTAGTTTTGGCTTGAAGCGCCATATCCACTTTATTCTGGTAATTAGGTTGCAGCCTCCAGGTCAATCCTGGGCGTAGAGATGTTGGGATGTAGAAGTAAACAAGAGTAGTGTAGGTCGGGAGTAAGAGCGAGCTAAGACGTTTTAAGAGCTAAGACGTAAATTTAACTATCCTTTATTAAGAAATTATAAATTATTAGTTCTTCCAGATACTACAAGACTGGGAGTCGGTGTAGCAGCAATTGATAATTTATAGCCTTTTTCACCATCTATGTTGCTAACAACTTTTTCAGTTGCTTTGACCAATGCTGCATCATCTCATGATCAGATTGATGGTCATCCTTTATATACATTCTGAAAATGCCAATCGATCCTTTATATGTGTACTAAGCGTACCAAGACCGTCATCCGGGCTTCCGTAATGCTTCCATACGTTAGGCGAAGCTGTGCTACGCCTGAGCTGCTTGCTTGCAATGGTTGACCATTGCCTGTTCGATGCTTCTGCTTCACTTACTCGGAGGCTGTCCCAGTGGCCATTTATTTCTTTCTCGCGGGTACCACTCATTAAAGCGGTCTTTCTACATAAAATATGTGTGATCGTCAAATTTCTAACATTTTGCTTCCCTACAAACAATTTTTTTTTTTTTTTTAAATACAACTATAATTACGTTTGCATAACATATAGTAGCTGTTGCAGGCATTTTCACCTGTTTTGTTCGCTACCTTAAATTATTACATCATTTTGGGCGCCTTACAGTATTCTCAGAATTACTCTGTTTTGAGTATATAAAAGACGTGTACATTTTTTGACGATCATTTCAGGTAGTAGATTTCATCAAGTTACGTTCGGAGCAACGTCCATTTTGTCTGGTGGACACACCGGGACAGATTGAGGCTTTCACGTGGTCC